GCGCCCGCCACAATGCCCAGCTATTTTTTGGTTGCAGCCGTCATTGTTGTTTGGCGGGTCCAGGCTGGATTCGAACCCTCCACCTTAAGTGTATGTGGCTGGCGCCTTGGCCACTGGAGCCACAGGTGCCGAGCCAGCAACTTCTTGAGGACAAAGAACATGTCTTTATGTCCCTAGAGCCTAGTACTCCATAGGAGGCACAGACATTAAAAATGTCTGTTTTATGAATGGATGAAATATTTTACAGACCATTAAAATGCCATCAAAGAAACATAAATATACTACAGTAATTATTTCCTTAACTTTTGGAAGTTGGTGATTTATAAACTAAGAAAAACTAAGAAAACCACTTTTAAAAATCTCTCAAACACAGAAATGATAGATATAAATACAATATCTAAAGAAACATTTACCACATTAAAGAAAAAAACCAAGTAATTACACACAATTACCCCTGTATTCTGTGCAAATGATCTCCATATAAAGGAAATGCACAGTCCAATCCATTTCATTAACAAGAGATTCATTCTCTATATAATGGAAAAATCGCCTCAAGTGAGGCGATTTTAAAATTAATGGCTCTATATTATAATATGCAGTACCTTCTTGTTGTTTTCAGAAGTGGGGCTGAGTATGGTCAGTTCTGGTCTACTTGGTTTAGGCTTTGGAGATTCACAAGAATTAATGAAATTCATGATAAAAGGTTCCAAATGCTGACCTTTCTGTGGTGATACAGAGATCATTTTAAGAAAATTAAAAATCAAGATAATTTTGAATACAATCCATCAAAATTCATTTATATTTAAATATGGTTAAGAGTATCTTTTATAAAATACACATAAATCAGTTATTCACCTCTTTCATTAGTTTTCCAGGAACAGATTTTATAATTTTGCCTGCAATTAGAAAAGTAAAACATTATTTTTATGAAGGCATAATATACTTCATAATTGCTCATATTTCAATGAAAAATACTACTTACTTAACAGCCAAGTAACAACTGTATGAAGCATTTATGATTAACTATTTCACACCCAACAGAAATTTTTAATGAATATGATATTCTGACTTATTTAGAGATACATTTGGGATATGCTTTAGAATAATCCAGGAAGGCAGGAGGTAGGCAAAAGATAGAACAAAGTGTTGACAACTTTGAAACAGAGTAAGGAGTTTATTATACAGTTTTCTCTACTTTTGTGTTTACTTGAAAATTTCTATAAGAAGTGTTATCAAAAGATTTTAAACAATGGTAAATATGTACTGGTTTATAAAGATTGGCGCAAGAAAAAGTTTTAAGAATTGCTACAACATTTAAATTATTTGAATAATATATACTCTAAATTTTAGATTAAGAATTTCTAGTCTAATACTATATTTGCCTAAATTACTTCTTAGTTTTATCTCCAGGTTCCCTTACTGTAAATTATCAAACACCTTGAGATCTCAAACATTTAGAAATGACTTTTAAAAATTAATTAAAATTGACAGATATAACTTAAATTTGTCAGGTCAATTTAGAAAAAAGAGTCATGGCAATAGCAGGAGACATGAATATTAATAAATAAAGAGATTATTTGGTGACAAACAGAAAAATGCAAACTATCCAACCCTCCTACCTCATTATTTCAGGTTTGTGTGCCTCTGGTAACAACCTATCCCACTCCTCAGGATGTTCCCAAGTTCCTGAACTACAGGGCTTATAATGCTGTGCTTTTCTCTTCTATGCGTTCTTTAGGAGCCAAACTCTTTGCTCAATCTGATTGCAAATAAAACTCAAATTTCTAATTTTTATCATCTCTTGAGCACTCCTACCTAAGAAAATTTCTTCAGCTGGATTTTATAAATTCAAAACTGCTGTCTATTTATTCTCCTCTCCCAAAAAGTAATAGCATTCATCTAGTTGTTTAAACATACAGTTTTTCTTCTCCAGTCAAACCTAGTCAGTAACCAGATCTAACTAACTCTATCTCCTAAACACTATGCATAACCAAATATAAAGTGTTCTCACATTTTTCTCCTCATAAGACCCATATACACCAAGTATTTTGGCTTAATTAAATGTATTAATTTGGGACAGGGCCTGTGGCTCAAAGGAGTAGGGCACTGGCCCCAATATGCCAGAGACAGTGGTTTCATACCCAGTCCCGGCCACAAACTGGGAAAAAAAAAAAAAGCCAGGTGTTGTGGCAGGTGCTTGTAGTCCCAGCTACTTGGGAGGCTGAGGCAAGAGAATCACTTAAGC